TGCAAAGGTCCCCTCTTGCGACCCTTGTGTTTTAAAGGCTTGCAGCGGTTCCTACGAAAATGGAAATGGCCTTTTGGATATCGCAGCGACTGCACCTTGGATTCAACTTTTCTCTGCTGGCGCCACAACTCTAAAACTACTCTAAAGTCTGGCTGGCAGGTAGCGGGATGGACACTCCTTTGCTATCCTTGAGGGACATCTTTGGCAACAAGGGCCACCTTGTGGAGTACCAGTCCCTTGTTTAATCTCTTCCATGTTCCAGCCTAACAAATGCGTACCCTTTTGATCACACTTAGGTCCAACAGTGAGAAGGACAAGGTTGCCCGTCTCTTCTTGGAGAGAAACTTGGATCCGCCCATCATGCATCTTGGCTACCATGGATGCGGTCAGGTTTGCCTTTCTTGCTTCTCTTACTCTCTTAGGAGCTATTCTGATGTCTTTGAAGTGGACCCTGGAGCTTTAGAACACAAAAAGGCACAACAAACACACTGGCTGAGCTTTTGAGACTGTACTTTTTGGGTTGACATGCCCTTGGCAGGTTGGAATGTATTCTTCAGGGTTTCCTTGCACACCGCACTCTGCTTTGGGGAAGCGATTGGGCCTACGTGATAAGAACTGCAAGCAAATGCACATGGTCTTCAGCAACATCAGGGAGTCCAGCCCTGCAGACACTTATCTGCATCGATCAGCTTTACCACACATGCCGGCAAAGCACACCACACATACTTGCAAACCGATCCTGAGTGTGGGGTGATGGAGAATGTCCGGGGCATCATGCGATCTTGGGATGAGATTGAGCCCATCATGAAGAGGGAACTTTCGGAGAATCTTTGGCCCAAGTGGTGAACCCAACATTGCTTAAATGCGTGTTTTTCTGGGCCCAAGGTACAAGATTGCACTGGTAGCACTGAACCCGCATCTTTATCGCAATGAATTGTTTGACATGTTGGAAAGGGGGTGGTGAGGCCAAAAAAACATATAAAAACTAAGGTCAAAGCTTGGAGCTCCTATTTCCAGAGACAGGGTATACATCCTATTTGTTCGGGAATCTTTGCTGAGCACCGAAGCCAAAGACGACTTTGAGAACTTTGCCCAGAACCTAGCCAAAAAGCTTGAGATGCCGTCCTCAACAAAGTGGTGCCTTACCTTCAATCCAATCAGTGGGGGGTGATACTGAGTCTTCAGTAGGAAATGGAAGCAGCTGTTTGTGTTCTTCAGATTCAGGAGCAATCTTTTGATGTCAAACAAGCATACCTGGGTGGCAGCATCTATGGAAGCCCGAGCGAAGCGAGCGCAACAACATATGAAAACAAGGAGGAATCTTGGCACAACAGTTTACTGATCTCTTTGCCACCCCCTGGATTTTCTTCAATTGTGTTCTTTCAGGCCCATCATGAAGAGCAAGTGGATCCAGCACCATCGAGCATAGGCTGCCAAATTCAAGGTGGGTAGATTCACTGCTTCCATCTCCAATCAACTCAAACTCAAGTGAGGTACGCAAAGCTGCCGGCTGCTTTTCGAAAATCTGCCCAATTGGGGTGAAGCAAATCTCAACTCGTCGAGAATTGGATGCCGCTTGGACCATCGCATGAGTGTACCCAAAGAATCTGTTTACATAAGACCTGAGGCTCTCGACAAAATTGTGAAATGCGATGAAACCTTCCTGGTGGCCAACACATCACAGAATATTCACAGGATGAATGCCACAAGTGGTGATAAATTTCCTTGCATCACGTCAGATCCCTAGATATGTGACGTTCTTGTTTTAGTGGATTGTGTCTAAGTTGGAGAGTCACAGGCCCTCTGGCACCTTCTTCCTCAAGCGGAAACAGCGATATCTCACTGGTGACTCAGCTGCTCACTTTCTGGGTTCTGGAAGCACTTGCCTGCTGCGTCAACCAATGTTGGACCAAGGACTGGAAGCTTTGCTACTTATGGGCCTGAGGATTGACCTTATGGACCTCAAGGGCTTCACTGATCGAGCCACTTGCTGTGACATTGGCATGAAGGCATATATGCTTTAGATCAATCACAACAAACATGAATGTTTCAAAGGACCTCCACAAGCTTGCTGGCAATGGGATGGCGATGAGGGCTCTATTTGCAGCACAATGCATTGTGTTGAAAGCTTTGGATTTCGATTGCACAAAGGAGTATTTGACCAGCTCCTAGTGCAGCGTGTGCCTTCACCAATTAATTCGTTCCCCAATTCATCAATTGTGAAGGATTGACCAAACAGGACCCGGGAGAAAATTAAACAGCCGTGCAGTGCATGTTACAGTTTGTAAGTTGAAACATGCAAAAACAACGAAACGTCTCACTTACCCTCCTGTCCCTGCTTCCCTGCTCAATTCTATCTAGCACAGTGGAGTGGCCGGTCCCGGTGGCGCGCCTCTCCTGACAAAGTGATGGGGGTCCTCTGTCGATACGATGACAAGGAAGACGAACTCCTTCAAACGGCCGGTGGTTGCCGGGCTGGTATCGGCCGCTATGATGAAACTGAAAGCTCAGCTGACGAGTCAGAAGATGAATCTTTGTCTGGGACACCTAGCTCATGACTAAAGAAATTCATAATAGTCTATTGTTCTGTCGCTGCACTGCGAACACATCTAAGGAGTGCTTCCCCTTCTTCTTCCGTTGAAAGTGGATCTGTTGAGAAAGGACAGAAAATTGATATGCATTGTGGGCTTCTTGAACCTTTTCATTCTTTTGGAGATCCAGAGTCAGAAGCCACCTCAAGTTTTGCCATCCATGGCATGGATGTGCATCGCATCCGGGATCTTGTCCGGAATCCGCCTTGCCAGTGCGGGTGCGAGGTGGATTTGAAGTCGGTGATAAAGGTTTGCAAGGCGTTTTGGAGCCTGGACAAGGAGCGGCAGGACTCCATCCTGTGGAGTTTACAGAGCCACGCGAAGCCTGGATCTTCCTGGTTTATTGAAGGCCCATCAGAACATACTTATTTTTGGAACACACATTGACATGCCGCCTGACAAATGTCCTTTTGTTCTACAGGCCAGCATGTGTGCCGGTTCTACTGGATGAGACTGATGGGGCTGGGGAAGGAGCGGCTTTCTCGCACCAAGCGAACCTTCAGAGGGTTCGATGAGAGACATCTCAATAGAGCCCCGGTTGGATAAACATTGTGTTGGTTCATATTTTGTTGAAAGTGCTTTGTTGTTGCACCGCACTCATTGGTACTGACTGAGGAAACTCACATCAAGCATCCCATCAAACCGCCTCTGTGGTGAGCTTCTTCAGTCATATGTATCACACGGCTGGCGAATCGATGCCGACAAAGTGCCCTGGATCATGAGTCATGGCATGCTTTACAATAAATGTATGTCTTCAGTTTGCTGGCATTTGTTGCACAAAGGATGGATACCAAAAGCGCGGGGCACGATGGTGGTGAGCGTTTGAGGGAGGAGATGCTGAAAAGATTGGTTGATCGACGTTTATTGGGGCCAAGTCAGCAGGTGCTTGGAGTGCAGCCTGAAGAGCTCCCGTACAGGGAGCTGCCACCGTGCACCATAGCAAGCTTATACATGATGTACCAATCATTTCACAGAGCCTCGTTGTCGACAGGCCCACCAGCATCCAAATCTTTGTTCTACCCAATTGCAAAGCAGTGGACAACAACATGCCTTGGAATCCGAAGGCAGGTGGAGCATGCTATGTGTGTGGAGTGCCAGTCATTGAGGGCAGCTATAGCCCGAACAACCAACTTCGAAGATCATGCAAGACTATGCGACCGCTTGTTACAGCACTACCACGAGACATGGCAAGATCGTATGTGTTACTGGCTTGCACGGGACCATGCTCAGGTCGCCGATTCAAATCTGCTGGTGGTGATCGTTGACAGCTTCGACAAATCAAAGCTCCACCTTCCAGCCTTCCCATTGAAGAGGGTGCCCAAAAGGGGGATCTACGAGAAGTACCTGAGAGTCTTGGCGCTTATAGTTTATGGTCTGTCTACTAGCTATTTGGTGGCAGCTTTGGCGTGGCAACATTTTCTTGAATTAAGGAGCCAATGTAATTTTGACGGCGGTACTCATCCACGGACATGGCTGCTGGCTCTACTTGGGCAGCCATGAGGGAGTTTCTGGAGGATCCTCCTGGCAATGGGAATGTGTTCCTCGGCTCTTGAATACTGTATACTGAATTGGGAAAAGAATGCAAATTGAAAGCTATTTTTGATTGGTCCAGGTGATGCGATCCTTGGAGAAGGCTTTTTGCAAGATGCGAGCAGAAGGGAGACCATTCCCACAGGAGTCTCTCAGCTGTCACACAATTCATTTCAATTGCATTTCATTGAAATTTCTTGCTGTGCAACCCACACAGCAACAGCAAGGCTGTGGCTGCAGTCTGACAATACTGTCAAAGAGATTCGCAATACATATACTCAAAGAATCTTGAGCTCTTTGGTTCAGTCAAATGTATTCTCCACTGCAAGTGTGGCCCACCTTCGGGTGGGCCACACTCATGAAGACATTGACTCAGTGTTGCTTTGATGATTTATTGATTCATGATGTTTTTTTGCTGCTTGTGGACCGTGGCTGATTGGAGCGGTGCACAGCAACCAAGTTTCAGTCTGGCAGCTACATCCTTGGCGGCAGCATCAGACCTTCAAACACCCCAGGACATCCAAAGCCGGCTGCTGCGCACATTGGGTCCAACTTTTCTGAAGCGTGGCTGGAATTTTGATGTGGAGATCATGGGAACAGTTACTAGGCACCAACCAACTTCATGTTGATGAACTGTTGCTCATGTCAGCTTGTCCCTTCTTTACCTGCCAAGGTTCGAGATTGGGCAAAATTGGCTCCTGACCGGGTTACATTCAAGAACTGCTTCAAGACCCGGAAGTTTGAGGAGGACAAGGATACTGTTCCAGTGCCCCACATGTTCACCTACATGACCCGCAGCAATATGCCAAACCAAGGAGTCGGAATTCCTTGTGCTGAAAGGGTGCCCCGATCTTTGAGGTCTTCGGATGATTCCGGCCGAGACGTGTTTGTGCTTGTCAAGCAGCACATGTCATCTCAGGGATTGTGCCAGGATCCATTGCTGTGTTTGCCATCGGCTTTGTTGCATGAGTCACAAAATTTCCTGCGAGATGGAAGCGGGAACACAAGTTGCACAAGGACTTGGGCGCTGGAATCCGAGCGATTGGGTGAGTTGGACATGTTGAGGAAGGCTTTGCACAAAGATTTTCCTTACCTCCAGCGCTCATTGCGCTGGTATGACTCTCATCAGAACAAGCCTGAGCCTTCAAGTGTACCTGAGTTGAGCTTCTTGCGCAACCCAGCACCGTTTGGCCCTAATCTGCATGAGTACAGATTGCCAGCCAGGCCAGAAGCTGCTAAGCCGCATCAGCTACAGGTTGTGTTTCACCGGGCGTGACAAGATAGAACCGGGTGGGAGAAGAAATTTGAGTGCTGTGAATCTGGTTTCATCACAAGTGTGATTGCTTGCCACCTGCAAGACAACATGTAATAACGTCTTTACAGGGAGAATGCCATGTCGGCTCCAATGGAAATGAAGATGGAACCGAAGGCAGAAGCTGATACTGAAACGCAAGGGGTGTTGGACCAACTATGCGCTTACTTTGAAACTGCTTCTTGGCTAAAACCTGCTTGTTGGTCTCTCAGGGGCAGCTGAGGCATGGTTTCGGATTTTTCTGCATCTGTAGGTCGTGGGCATGAAGAATTTGGGCGATCATGTGAATGCTATGTGGCAAGACGTGGCCAAGATGGAACAAGTCAGTGACTTAAGTGACAAAAGTAGCTTGATTCTGTTGCTTTTGTTTGGCATTCATGAACTCTTTGGCTTGCCAGGCGGTGAATGAAGTGATTTATGCAAACTTTTCACCAAGAAGGATGCACACTACATCCATTCCCTTGGATTCTGTGGACGAACTGTATCTTCCATTGACTGCCTTTGACTTCGGAAGGGGCTCAAAGAACGGATGTCGGGGGTTCAAACAAAAAAGTTTGTATTTTGGGTTGAGGCTAGTCTAGTTCTTTGCACTCTTTTCCCCTGCAGTCTTTCCAAACAACCAGCAGATCTATGTCATCTACAAGGAATTCCTGGAGCATGGCTACAAAGGTGCCCTCGGCACGGTTCTGATCAAGTTCCCGCACAGAGATGGGACAAGATCAATCCCTGCTGGATCAGTAGGGCTGGTGGACGGATTTGCGAAGATCATGGTGATGCTTTCGGTGGTTCTGTTCATCAAGGAGCTGGAACTGCTCGACCAAGCTCTAGAGGACCCTACCTTGAGGAAAACCTTGCAAAGTTTTGCCGACATTCGTTGCAGCTACGAACACCACGAGAATCCTTCTTTGTTCCATCTCCAAAGCCTCAGACACTTGTCTTGCATTCAGTGCTGCGTCTTTTTCATTGTGTTGCATTTGAACTCCCAAATTCACACCTTGACAAGAATTGGGCTATGTCACGGCAGAGAAGATCTCACCGAGCCCGATCACAATAGTTGCAGAAGTACATGAGGCAATCAAAATTCAAAAGCGACTTGCTGGAAGCTTGTCTGCGTTGTTATGTTGCGGTGAAATTTGATTTGGTGTTGCTGCGGCTGCAATTACGTACCTTAGGAGGCCGAATGGCTACAAAGGACTGTATGTCTCGGGTCATTGCCGACTACAACCGTCTGTGCTCCAACAAGAAGCACAAAATAGACGCTGGCCGTCGTGGCCTCATCTGGAACCTGCTCCTCAGATGTATTGTGCTTTTGAATTCTGTCTTGCACTGAAACTTTTAGGATGCTTGCTGCATGTCAGTGCCAAGGCTCCGGTGTCCACCACCTATTTTGGAGCATCTCCATGCCCACTACGATAGCTTCAAACCAGAACAATCGGGCAAACAAGTTGCACATTAGCAGATTCTCCAAACAAGATTATAATATATATATATAATAAACGAACCATAAAATCGTACCTGAGGCATCACGCATGAAATCCTGGGGAACGAGTTCTATGTACCAACCAGCACAAGCCGTCGAGAACATCCACTTTTCCGAGGGAAAGCTTTGTATGAGGAGATATTGTCTCCTTCAACGGAAACCTGCATGGCTTACATGAAGAGAGCTACGGAGGACAGTCCAGGATGTTTCTTGGTCACCAAATCAGTTTACTAGTCTATCTGTTTTCTTACCACAGGACTTCAGCAGAAAGGCCTCTACAGAGAGCTCACAGAAACTCAAGGAGCTTGATACTCAAATTGGATACAGTACATGTCTTGTGATTTCAACATGTTCCATCCAAATCTGATTTGGCCCGCAGAAGTCACATCAGCTGAATGAAGAGGGTCACCTCCTCCTCCACGACATCACTTGTTTGTGGTGCTGGCTGAAAACGAAAATGGAGACCATGTTCAATGCTGATGTGGTGGCGCGACACCAGAAGCTGTGGGATGAGGGGTGCTTTGCCTGCAGTCAGAGTGTGAAGCAACAAGTAGTTAATGCAGTAATTGATGGAAAAATATATTTGGCCGGATGTGATTGATGGAAAAATATATTTGGCCGGGTGTGATTCGTGGAAAAATATATTTGGCCGGGCGTGATTCGTGGAAAAATAGGTTTGGCCGGGTGTGATGTGGTTTTTGAAAACCACGTCGCAATTTTGGTGGAAAAATAGGTTTGGCCAATCACATTTTGATCTTAAATTTCAAGTTCAAAAAGTGATGTGGTTTTCAAAAACCACGTCACAAAATCAATGATCCCGGGCAAGTCATTGATTTCTGGACTTTGGAATAAAAATCAAAAGAATGATTGAGGGCTTGAAAAACAATGATTTTGTGATGTGGTTTCCAGAAACCACGTCACAATTTGATGTTGATTTTTAACTTATTTTTGTGATTGATCCATAGAATGTTTTATATGTTTTGTATTTTTTGGGGGGTGTCGTGTTGAATTTGAACATTGCTTTCACTCGCAGGCATCTTGATCCTGATTTGCAAACCATAATGAAAGCAGCGGATCCAGAGATGGAGTGGTCGCGAATACCTTTTGTGCTCGAGGCTGTGGGCTCACTGTTTGTTCACTGTATCTTGTGGTTTGCTAAGTTTTAAATGTTTCAGATTTGTAAGCAAAGGGGCGCCACCAAACGACACAGAATGGACAGTAAACCGTTCGTGTTGGAGAGTCTCGACAAGCCTTTTGACATTCATTCCTGCATTAGTGGTGGACATTATTTTGCAAAATTTTGCAGGCACAAGGGCGTACCTTAGAACAATACGTGCAAGACCATCAAGACAAGAGTCGCAACGCGCTGCAAAAGAGCTTGCAAGCAGCTTTTGCTGCTTGGAAAGAAGAGCTTGCCGCGGACCAAGCAGCTTTTGCTGCTGAAAAGCTGGCGTTGCCTGGCTATCAGTTGGTTGTGTCATCAGATGATCATGTCCAGATTGACTTTTGAAGTACAATTTATGCTTGGTGTGGACAACTACTTTGTGGTGATGAGGTAGGAGTGAAAACAAGACTATGACAAACACAACATTGGTGTTGTGAGTATTTGTGAACAAACCTGAGTAGTGAGGGAGGGCTGGAGACAACTGAGGGCAGACCGGGAAACATCAAAATCACGCTCCAAGATCATTGCGCAGCTCCAGGACAAGCTGACTGATAGCTTTTATACCGCATATTATTGAATTGTGTCAAACTAATTTCAAATTAAGTTTTTGTACACTTGGGCATTTTGGTGATAAGTTGTTCCGCTTAACATGCCCTTAATTTTGTACACTTGGTCAGGAAGCGCACGACAGGTCCTGGCAAACGGTTCGAGACTATATGGTTCAGCGCATGGTGGTGTTTACAGGAAAAACCGCGGAAGCTGAGGGAACCATCCTTCCACAACTTCGCAAATGGTTGAAGGAATCATCGCAAGACTACTCTGCTCCGAACGAGCACACTGTGATGCTGTTCTTGAACTGCCCTACGATAGGAGTCATGAGCGCAACACAGCGTTCCTGGTTCTTGAACTGCATTTGCAACATCTTAGCTGATTGGCCACGTAATGGCATTTGCTTTGTGATCCATCCAAACCGAGCTCAGCAAGAAACAAGGCCAGGAACATTCAGTACTGCTGTGAAACCAATTCTGCTCTGTGTTTTGCATGTTTGCTGCTCGTCGTGTGAAAGCGCCACCCTAGGAAGACACCTATGAAGAAAGCTGAGATCTCTGACAAGCATGATGATGATGACGCTGCAGAATCTGACATGGATGACGATGACATGGACGACGATGCTTTAATTCGAGAAGTTCGCTACAAATTGGAGATTCTCGACAATAACGAAACTTGTGAAATTGACAGTCGTGAATTAATACTTAAAAGTTGGACTTGAAGAAACTAACAAAATCTGTGTGCACAGTGTACAAACCCTGGCTCCTCATCTCAGGACACAATTCCTGCTGAAGGAGCGCAATCTGCGAGTCCGCAATATGACCTGGGTGTTTTCTCCAGCAGCTTGGTCTAAAAGAATTGCAACCAGCAGTTTGTGTGGGTGCTTCTTGATGTGCCATCCACTCATGAAAAACATCGATTATATGCTGAGATTTGTGTAGTTCTTCCTTTTTGTGATACGCTGAAACCATCTGTGAGGCTTCAGTCTATGGAAAAAGGGACGGGAGCATCCAGGGGTTTGCAGTGGTGCACAAGGACAACCAGAACCTCCTCCGATCAACAAAGGGGTGGAAGACTGGAACAGTGTTGGACATATCAATGCTGGGTAGGTCAGAAATGTGGAAACCTGATCCACCGGTGTCTTGGCAGACTTTTGAAGATGTCTTTTTAAATATATCCTTTTGAATAGGTGTCTTTCACACATGATGACACTATGTGAAACCACAAATGCTACATGGTTTGTAGCAGGCAAGATCACATGTGTTTGGTCTTTATGTTTGTGTGTATTGAATGGTGCAGAGAAACCTTAAGACTCATAGAAATGATTCCAGGGTTCACCGTTTAAACTTTCACTGCCCTTCTCAGAAAACATACACACATGCACAACAAGATCAACAAGGGCAAAACAAACACATCACATCCATTCTTTGAACCACATTGGCAAGAAAGAACCCTCTTGGGAGCCATGCGCAAAACTCTGCAGTCAAGGTGTCCCCAACCAATCCACGATCTTCGTCATTGCCTCACTTTGGCAGGGCATTCACCGATATCCAAGAACAAAAACAGGTGCCTGGACATCTCTATTGATCTACTCTGATCTATCTAGCTGTGAGTTACAGTAACTAGCTTCCTTGTCATTGTTTCAGCCACACAGATCCAAGGTAAGTGCAGGCACATCATTTGTAAGAGCTACCATGGAAGCCTTCTCACTTCCAACAGAAAAAGGCTGCTGTCTGGTGGATCTGTTTGGCTATGATGGCACCCCGATGCTGGCTTGCTTGGAGGAGTGGCCGGGGCAGTGAGCATCTGAATTTACAACAAAAACAAATCTTAACAAGTGGTGCCTACCCATCATCCATCAACACTTTTTAGACACTTTGGAAGCCTTTGCCTGGCAGGAGTTGTGCGAAGGCAAGAATTGCTGTGTCGGCACTGTTTGCCTAGACGCATCTGGCAGCTCTTTGTCCACTAGAGTCGCAAACAAGGTTTTTGATGCTGCTCGTTCCAAAAAGGTCAAGCTCAATGCCTTTCCAGATATTTCGTCTTTGGTAGCTTCTTTGAAGCGTGGGCATGCGGTGGAGAGCACTACAACCTACAGGGTCACCGCCCGCCAAAATGACAGATTGGTGATAGTCAAGAACTTGGCGGAGAAGTGGCTTAATGAGGAATCAACAAGTGATGAAGCAAAACGCATTATCGAGCAGCACAACAAAGAGCACAATGCAAATGGTGAGTATATGCTGACCACTGATGATGGGACCGGGGCCCTGCTTTTTTGTTCAGTTATGTTCAGTTCTTTTTCTCAACGACCTAGACGCACCCCCGCTTCTTTGTCAAGTTGCAGGACAGCATCTGCGCCTGCTGTAGAACCACCTCCAAAGCGAGTGAAGTTGGAAGAGGCGAGTGATCAGACCATCTCCAAGCTTGTGAACCCGCAACTCGCTATTCCGAAGAAGGATGGTTGGGCCTGGGATATTTGTGGTATCCTTGATTCAGAACCTTTTTTGTGTGACATCGCGTGAATCCAAGGACCCGACTTCAAATCAACAATACACTGGACTTGGTCGCAGGGAACATGAATGCAGGGAGTGAGAATTCAGCCGCAACATCATTGTTCGTATCAAGCAGGTCTCGCAATCAGCTTTTTGAGAAGAGAGAGTTGTCTCCTGCCTGAAGTTCATGCCCTGTGAAAGTTGAAGTTCAGTTCCTACCTTTCTTGTCTACATAAAACCAGGTTCCTGGTTTAGGGATCATGTGAGGTTTGGATTCGGACCTGGTGAGTGGCGGGACGGATCAGCAACTGAGATTGAATTTGGAATTCTGATTGGGAAACCAGTGTCATGCAAAAATCATATGTTATACGTGTCTTCTTCAGGATGCCACGGATGTCCAAAAAAATTCCAGTCGCTGGTTCAGCTTTGATGTCAAGAAGGATGACCTCATTTTCCTGGAACGCAAGTCAGTGCCGGAATCTCTTCGGCAAATGGAATGCGTGGAGTCCGTGATGAGCGTCCAGAGTATTCTGTCGGATTTGGAAGACCAGGGAGAGGCCTCTTAGAAGAAACCCTTGGCCATCATGTATGTTTTCCATAGAGCAAACAAATATTGCCAGTTTACTTGCAGCATCAGCAGTAACATTGTATAGTTTAATCAACACGATTCACAATAATGTGCCATATGAAAACTCCGGAACGTCTTGATTCTGCAATCATTGGTTGTTTAGAGTTTAAGCCTGGCTTCATTTGGAAAAAACATCTTGACAGGTGAAGATCGAACTGAGTCACCACAACCTGGATACATCAACAAAGGAGGTGACATCAACCAAACCCCTGGTGTTTGTCATGGACCAGATGGCAGAACCTCAGGGGAAAAAACGCAAGGTGATCATCACGACAAAGAATTTCGGAGCTCGCCTGGACATTGGCAAATTGAAGGAAGGTCTTGGCCCCTCCTTGCAACTTTTTTGGCGCTGCAGGCTTCTTGCTTGAAAGAACAAATCTATGGGGCATTGCTAAAGGCTTTCCCCGTTAACTGCTGAACCAAGGATATCGACGGGAACTCAAGGCGAAAAGCTGATTGTTCCCATCAGGCCGTGCATTTGCACTGCAGGCCCTGTGGATTTGAGTGAGTGCTCAGCTCGCTTGTTGTAGTTGGCTTTTGATTCTTCGGGGTGGGTGCAGGGGACACAATGCAAAACAAACTCACCACTTCTAGCACCAATACAAAACTTGAGATCATGAGAAAGCTGTTGCTATTGTGCTGTCCAGCGCCCCTAATCCTTTCCAAGTATATCATGCAGCATGCTTCAAAGAGGGTTTCACACCATTGTGCAACTAAGCCTCCTATATAGTTCTCCTAGTTTTTGTGGACTGGTTGGCATAAATTTTGTGTTCTCCACACCCGTACTGATCAATTAATGTTTTCTCAGGTCTTGGTCGTCATGATCATGCTGCGCCATCGAACATTTTGCAAAGAGGAACAAACTGTGCTGTGCAAAAAAGGTAACAAAACAATTCTTTCGCTATTTGTCACTGCTGTCATGTTTGCTTTGAGCATGCGCTATGCAAACTGCATGCACATGGCAACCTGGTTTTCACACACAGGCCGACACCCGGCTGCTTGAGTTTCAGGTCTCAATTTGGGTTGACCTACAGTATATTGTGTGTGCCAGGGTTCCATGGCATCCGCACCTCATGATGATGATAGTGTGGAAGAAGTGGAGCTGACTACAGTGATCGCGGCACCTGCTTCATGTCTAACTAGGTTCTGAAGCGTGTTAAGCCTTTGGTTGAAGTGTTTTGTCTTGGCTTTGCCAAGGCTTTCAATCTGAATCAGATTCTTTCTGATGGCCCTATCGAACCGACACCCCCCCGGAGAGCAACAACCACACCTCCTGCATCAGCCAAAGCAGCCCCTGCTGCGCTGCTACCTGCAGGACAAGAAGTATCAGATTCTCTTGAAACAGGTCTTGGAGTTTGTAATATAATTTAGCATAATTTAGCAAGTCAATTTGATACAACTACTATTTGAAGTGAATGCTCTCTGTGTAGGATCTTCTGGGCCTAGCGTGGCACACACCTTGCCACCTCGGGTTGGTGACTCCGATTCATCTGGGCACAAGGAAGATGGCAAGAAAAAGAAAGAACAGAAGGGCCAGGCCAAAGGAAAGAATAAGAAGAAGAAGGGTGATGCAGAAGATGAAGATGAAGAATATTTTGACCCCTTCCATGATCATGGCAATGAAGATGGCGATGATGATGATGACGATGATGCTGATTTGGCTGGGGGCGCTGGTGGAGCAAGTGATGGTGTGAAGAAAAGGCCATCGGGAAAAGGCAAAACCCCCAAACCAAAAAGGACCTCATCAGCAAAGAAGGGAACTACCACACGGAAACGGGCCCGCGTGATGGATGATGACTCTTGCTTGCATGCCAGCCAAACAGGAAAATTACTTTTCAATTATATATTTCAACCTCAATGTAGTCTTCAGTCGCTCTTGGCCTATCTTAGGATTGTTCAGCTGATGACGCAATGTCAAATGAACTTCCATTCTTCAAGGATATTGAGGGGAAGCAACTTGGCAGCTAAGTCTTAGTGGGCAGTGAGGCTTTTTCATGGGCTTGTTCATGTGCGATTACAAAAAACATAATTACATTGTATTACTATAGTCAGGCAACATCCAGATCCCGCTCTTGACGATCCAATTCTGGTCCAAGAGTCCATACCGGAACCTGACAATCAGCTTGGATTGGAGTCGGAGGACGCTGCGTGTCCCACCCAGTCACCTCCTCACCACAGCCCTTGCTCACATGCAGGAACCGTCTGGCCTCCGCGACACTCTCATCGATGAGCCACAGCACCTTTCGCCATATTATCCTGACATGGAGGAGGCGGTGTCGGTCTGTGCGCATATTTTGTGAATGTATATCTATGGATGTGTGTCTGCGACGGTTGCTTTTTCTTTATCGCACTTTAAAGTTACTTGCCTGAGAACATCTTTGGGGAGAAATTATTGAAGTCTTGCGTGCCTAAGGAGGCTGAGTATCGTCGAATGAATGCCTCAGAGAGCCTGTTATCTTCACCAGGTATGAGGAGGAATGCAGCTAGGCTGCATGCTAAATGTCTGCTAACTGACTTCAGAGTTAAGCGCATGGTGACAAGATTCTTCCTTTGTTTTGTTCCTGAGGGCCCGGAAGGTGTTATTCCTGAAGAAGACTATGAGAATGAGCTAACTCAAAATCTTCGGCTTCAGGAACATGACACGGCCACCATCCAAAAGGAATGGACCCCAGAAGGCCATTGGGCCTGGAGTGCCAGCATGTACCGCGAGCTGGATCGCGTGGATCTGAAAAAGAAACAGGAAGCAGCGCATGATGATTCTGACACAGAGGCCTACCTCTTTGGTGAGATCCCTCCAGGTGGTGGAGATGCGGAGGATACTGGTCCGACTTCAGATTTCAACACAGCGGACGCAGCTTCCATGGAGAAGGAAGACATGCCTGTGCCCTATGACTATCCAGACCCCGCTGTTGAGCCCATCAGCGCACAGATCCAAGGAGCATCGGCAAAGCATGCTGAGCCCAGCGTCGATGTGGAGTTGGAGTTGGTTGAGACACCAAACTCAGAAAGTCCTGCTGACCCAACAGAGATCCCCAGTGACCCCAGCCTCACACTCGCGGAGGCTGCGCAGCTTTGTGACTCTCCAAACGAGGCAATTGTTTTTCCTGATGGCTCAAGCCCAACAAAGGAAGACCATGATTCAGGAAGGGATCGCCCCCAACCAATGCCAAAGACGCTTCCCGGCAAGCAGAAGCCTGGGAGCAAGGGAGGTTCCCAGAAGAAATCACAAGTTGGCAAACCGAAATCCAAGGCCAAACCCAAAGGCAAACCCAAGGCCAAAGCAGCGAAATGCAAACCCCGGCCCAAAGCTCGTACCAATGGCAACTCACAGCCAAAAGCAAGGGCGTCCAAGAAGAAGGCTGAGCAGCAGGATGCCGATGCAGCCACCAGCAATCCCAAGGCCCTCAAAGCCCTCAAGGAGAAAGAACTGGACCTGTGGAAGAAGCTGCATTCTGCCTCTTGGCCCAATGAAACTTACTTGGTACTTGAACAGCCCTCCATCTAGAAACCAAATGATCCCTGCTCCTTCCCAAGTCTATTCCACTGTGTGGAAAGCAGCAAAGAGTCGTGGATTGGATGCAGCTGGGAGGCGCGAGGAGGCAACCAAAGCCCGGGTGAAGTGTTTTGGCTGCACATATTTCAAGTTTAAAGAAAGTATGGAAACTATATATTTTCGCATACATTCCACCAGTGATTGGAATGAATCTTAGGTATATCAGGGAGCATGGTCCC